AGCATTTTTGAGATCTACTGTGATCTAAGCACTTTGCCTACACTTTGATTAGTAATGCAGCCTTTACTCACTTAAAAAACTTATATTTTAGTTGGATAAGAAAAAAGCACAGAAACCATTACAAAAAAATGTGCAGAACGCTATATCACAGGGAAGCAGAAAAGCAAAGGACAAAGAAGAACACATCTAGTTTTTCTGTTATTATATCAGTAACTTTTCTCATGGATTTTCTTCTCATTCTGAACATGGTTGATGAAATAACGTCCTTAACATGTCCGGAGCCAGTGAGTACGACCCAGCACCTGATGCTACAGTCCTGACTACAGCTTGTGCTATAAGCAGACCTGCCTCCTGCCTATTCTGGTTTAAGTTACTATGTTTCTGTCAGGGCATGCATATGAAAATTAATTAGATGTGACAGACTTGAAACAGAATTTAGTCATGGGGAAAAATGTCTGTTTTAGGTTAAAATTTCGTATCAAATAAACAGTTGCTAGGTGACCACACAGTGTGATTCACATTATGCAAATAATATAGCTTTAAAAAATAAGTTAGGATTTGTCTAATAATTCTAAATTGGAGGCTCCTAATACTATACCACAAACTTAAATCAAAACACACTGATCATTAGTTTCTGATTTCAGTAGGGAGTTACTGATACCTGAAGTCCTTGCTGAAGACACAGTGGGGTTTGATGCACTGAAATTTAAGGTAGATTTTTCCGCAGTTTTCGTTGTCTTGCCTTGTCCTAAGAAGAAGAAATGAAAATTTATATTAAATGAAAGCCCAAAGAATTATTAGAAGTGCATGGTTCCAAAGAGGGCAAGAGAGTAATATAGGTAATAGGAACATCTGTCAATTAACTTTCTCCTTTCCAGCCAGAGAGTGTGCACCAGCAGGTAGAGACTGCCATATCTCTGTGGGCTGATAACACTTAATTCTCTGTTCTATACTTGGTAGGGATTCAATAAACATTTGGCAATGAATATAAAAATAATGAAGTTATTTCCATTTTAAATTTAGTTAAATTCTGGGAAGATTTCATAATAAAAGCAAATTTAATATTTTCCTCTGTTCTATTCTTTGTTTTTTAAGACATTTCATAAGTATGGCTTGCCTATTCAGAATGACACTATGCATTATTCTCAAAAGGCATGAATTTTTTTAATCTCTTGAATCATATTGATTTGGAATAAACATGTCCTTAAAAGTCTAATTTAATGTTCTCAGAAAATCTTGCCATTATGGAAGTCACTTTCATATGTGCCTATGAGAGTCAGAGGAGTGATTTGAATTTCTACTTGATTTCTTGCTTCTATTCAATTTCCTACCCAGGATGTCAAATTCATCTCTCACTTGTGACTTTCTTAAGAAGATATGATAGCTTCATTGGCAGAAGAGAAAGGACTATATTTATAATTGTCAGTATTTTTATAGCAACAAGCTGTTGGATCAACAAAAGATAATGCAGATTGAGCCATTTGTATTTTTACAGCTATAATATAATTTTTCTTAGGAGCAGTATGTAACTTTCTTTTTATGTTTATTTAGCTGTCTGCAACTTGGGGTCCCTCTGTTGTCTTTGAGTTGTCAGTTATTATAATACTGTTTTTTATTCTTTTCTGTGAAAGTTAAAAAAAATTAAATGTCTATTGACTATAAAAGGAAATGGCACGGTCAGAAAAGTATTGTTAAAATGAAGTGCTACATGTCAAGATTCTTAAAGCAGATTTACATTTGTTTCTAATTATACTCTACTAGCAAATTAAAAAATACAAAGAGAATCTAAAATTAGGATAAGTCTACAAATGAATCAAAATTGCTTTTAAAATGCTGTCACTTTGTCAAATGATCAAAATATCTATTTTTCTTCTTAGGAAATGTCATCTGCTCTATACAGCCTTCCCGAGTGGTTGAAAACAAAATGGAATATTCTCTGTATTTTTTTTCACATCTCCCTCAGTCATATCTCTTCATTTTGTGTTTTATGGTTTCTTGTATTCTCTCTTTTAACAATCAGTTTCTTATCCATCAAAGTGTATATCTGTGAGAATCCTTGAAGAATATAAAAACAGTATTATATTAGATTAAATATTGCTATTGCAGTAGGTAACCAACCTACTCTGCATCACTATTTTCGTTAATGGTCCACAGGAGCAAAAATAAGACAAATATTCTTATTGATCAGAAATTACACTAACAATTGAATAGAAATATTCAAAGAAGAGCAAAGATGAAATAATATAATTTTTATTAATCTTTCCATTTCAGCACAAATTTGATTAAACTAATAAGCATGTTAAAGATAAAATCTGTTTTGATTATTTTCTATAGCTAATTAATAAATTCTGTGGAATTTAGAAAATAGACAGTGCATGATAGATTAAAAATTGAGCTACATTCCTGACTTTGCAGGTGACCACGAACAAGTCAACTCTTAGCTATCCTCAGGTGAATCATGAAGAAATAATAAGCCTCTAGAATTTTCTGAAGCTTAAAAGCAAACCCCCTCTAGCAGTTTTTAAAATGTTAAAAGACCGTAAAATTGATATGCAAGGCTAAATATGCCTCACTTAGAGGCTAATGTAGCTGATGGCTTTAAGTTGAAGCCAAAGTTCATTTACCATTCCGAAAATCCTAGGGTCCTTCAGAATTATGCTATCTGGAACCAAAAGCCCAGATGACCACACATCTGTTTACAACATGGCTTACTGAATATTTCATGCTCACTGTTGAGACCTACTGTTCAGAAAAAGATCCCTTTCAAAATATGACTGCTCACCTGGTCACCCAAGAGCTCTGATGGAAATGTACAATGAGATTAATGTTTTCATACCTGCTAAAATAATACTCATTCTGTGGCCCATAGATAAAGGAGTAATTCCAACTTTCAAGTCTTATTATTTAATAAATACATTTTTAAGGCTATGTCCATAGATAGTGATTCCTCTGATGGATCTGGGCAAAGTCAACTGAAAACTTTCTGGAAAGGATTCACCATTCTAAATGCCATGAAGAACATTCATGGTTCACGGATGAGTCAAAATATCAACATGAACAGACGTTTGGAAGGAGTTGGTTCCAACTCTCATGGATGACTTTGAGGGGTTCAAGACTTCAGTGAAGGGAGTAACTGCAGATGTGGTGGAAATAGCAAGAGAACTAGAATTAGAAGTGGTGCCTGAAGATATGACCACATTGTTCTAATCTCAAAATCAAACTCTAAGGGATGAGGAGTATAAGAATCCTTCTTATGGATGAACAAAGAAAATGATTTATTGAGATAGAATCTACTCCGGTGAAGATGCTGTGAAGAGTGTAGAAATGACAACAAAGAATTTAGAGTATTTCATAAACTTAATTGATAAAGCAGCAGCAGGGTTAAAGAGGACTGATTCCAATTTTGAAAGAAGGTCAATGGGTAAAATGCTGTCAAACAGCATTGCATGCTACAAAGAAAACTTTCATGAAAGGAAGAGTCAATCAACACAGCAAACTTTATTTCTGTCTTCTTTTAAGAAATTGCCACAGCCATCCCCAAACTTCAGGAGCCACCACCCTGATCAGTCAGCAGCAATCAACATCAAGCTAAGGCCTACAAAATAATTGTGACTCATAGAGGGCTCAGGTGATGGTTAGCATTTTTTTTAGCAATAAAGTACTTTTTAATTAAGGTATATACATTGTTTTTTTAGACATACTGTGTTGAACACTTAATAGACTACAGTGTAGTGTAAACATAACTTTTACAGGCACTGGGAAAACAAAAAATTCATGTAACTTGCTTTTTTTGTGATAATTGCTTTATTGTGATGGTCCAGAACCGAATCCTCAAGATCTCCAAGGTATGCTTATATAAATAATCTATTTTTAGACAGGCTAATTATATCAGTCCAAATAAAAAGAGAATTCCTTCATATTTGGACTTGTCCATTGGCAAATAAATGTAAGAAGCTGGCCAAAATATAATTTAATTCCTTTGGGATTGCTATTTAAGGAAAACAAAACAAAAATGTTCAATTTAACAAATTCTCTTATATACTACCCTCCAAGCACTTAAAAAAAATTATCCTGTAGGGATGAATTCATGTCTCTCTCCCCAACTTCTTCCCTGTTGATCAGAGTCAAAGCAACTAAGTAGCATATTTTTTATAGAAATTTGACAGTGTTTCTAAAATGTTACATAAGAAAATGTTCACTAGTTTATTAAGAAAAACTTTAAATTGGCACAATGTAGTCCACATAAAAAGTCAGGACTAGAGGGAAAACCAAAGGTCAAAAAATTGGTTCCAAATATTTTCCATCTCTGATGGAATAGCTTGTATCACACAAATCCTCTATGTAGAATCTATTGTAAAATCTCAGTTTTTTTTTAGCTTATTTAGGCATTACAGATCAATTGAGGCAGCAAGGATTGGAGATCCAAAAGAGAAGGGAAACACACTGAGAGAAGCTATGCTTGTTCAGCTTCTTTTCCACTGAAGACTTTGATATTATTTGCCTTTTCATAGCGTGGGTCACAGAGTTTAAGCAGAAAGTGTCTGGTCAGAATTTTTGCCATGCTCTTGGGATGAGGAGTTAAAACCATAATGACTACTAAGGTAGGCCAGACCCAAAGGACCATGATCTCAAGAAAATGGATTTGTAGAGAGGTGAGGCCAACATTCTTGTCTGTGAGGCGTTTGTCAACATGAAATTGCCAGAGTGTAAGAGACTGAGAAACTAAGAAGAAAGAAAGCAAAAAGGCTAAGAAAAACTCTTTAGCAGTCTCACAGCACTGGAGGAACACAAATTGGAAATCAGAGTCTGCTGAGGATGAGAGGCAATGGTAACACCACAAATTTTTAGGAATATGGGCAAACTGAAAATATTTCAGCTCTCACCAAGTTTGAAATCTGTTCTCAGAATGTATCTATCTCTGATTAAATCAAAAGAATCTGCCCCAGCTCTAACTACTGGCTAGAATGAATCAATGGACAATGCCATCCAGAGTTTCTTACCTTGCAGTCATACAAAGCTCAACATTCAATTAAACACAACAACACCAGGCCTGAAAGAGAACAGAACCAAACAATAAAAAAAAAAAAAGAGAGAGAAATAGGTGCTAGAAAGAGACCCACAGATAATCTAGTTATTGAAATAATAAAACAGACTTAAAATAACTGTAACTCATATGTCCAGTAAAATAGATGGCAAGATGTAGAATTTCAGAAAGTATGGAAATATATACAAAACAACTGACTAGAAGTCCTAGAACTGAAGGATACAACAGCTGAAATTCAGCACCCAGTGATTAAATTATCAGCAGATTAGATACAAGAAAAGAGAAGTGTAGGTCAGTATAAAATAACCAGACTGAAACACAAAGAGAAAAGAAGGATGGAAAATACAGAAAGGGATTAGGAGACATAAGGAATATCAGACAAGATGTACCATGTATAGAAGAGAAACAGAAGAGAGGGAGAATGGGACTGAAGCAGTAGTTGAATAGACACTGACAAAACATTTTCTAAAGCTGAAGAAAGATACCAAGACATGGTTTTACAAAGCACTACTACTCCCTAAAATGACAAATACCAGAAATATCACATCTAGGCACGTTGTAGTAAAATTGATGAAAAAATTAAAAGAATAAAAACCCCAAAAGTAGCCGGAGTAAAGAAAAAACACATTATTTGAGTTTTCAGATTAGCAGTAAAAAAACTCATTTTTTCATTTTCTTACATTCTTACAGTAATGTATTTTTCTCATTTAATTCATCCTATGATCCCTTAACCTAGGAAAGTGTGAAAAATGCAACATCAAATACATAGGTCACAGATATAGAAAACAAATTTATGGTTACCAAGGGGGAATGGGGCTGGGAAGGGATAAATTGGGAGCTCAAGATATGCAGATACTTTATGTAAAATGTATATAAAATAGATAAACAACAAGTTTCTTCTGTATAGCACAGGGAACTATAGTCAAGATCTTGTAGTAACCTGTAATGAAAAAGAATACAAAAACAAATATATGTATGTATGTGTATGACTAAAACATTATGCTGTGCATCAGAAATTGATACAACATTGTAAGCTGACTACACTTCAATAAAAAATAAGAACTATATGTAAGAAAAAAATCAAATGCATAGGGCTCCGCAATTTGAATGACAGAGAATCACGTTTCTTATAAAATCAGCTGAGGGCATTTAATTCATTTCCCCTTTTCTAGTACAAATTATTTTCCCATTTACAATTTTCCTTGGAAACTAGGAGGTGATTCTTGTTTCTTGACTGACCGGAAATTTTAATATTTGGGACCAACCCTCCAACTTGATTTTTCATTTTCTCATGGGGTCTTCAGACTTTCTTGCAAATATATCCCCCACTGACCCACTCAATGTATAAACCATGATGTTTTCAAATTTAGTTCTCAGTGACTATAAAACTTGAATCCACGTTTTCAGGTCATAGTTCCATTATAAAACATTTATAAGAATGTATGAAATAATTATTTTACATCTGGGAAGACAGCACTATAATTATCTTTTTAAGTGGGAACATGATTAAAGAATAATATAGTGGCCCATCTTCTTGGTCTCTATTTAAACCCTATTTGAAAGAAAATAATAAAGAAAAATGTTCATGTCCTTTGGATTTATATTTTGCTCACTTTTTTTCCCATTGGGGCAGATTATTATCTAAATAAGAAGGAATAAGATAACTACAGTGGTCAATTTTAGGAACAGTGGAAGCATAAACAAAAAGGCAACAGAGGAAATAATTTGGGAAATTATGCAGGAAAAATTATAAAAGAGCAGAAGAAGTAGAGAGGATAGTTATCCAAATAATATACAAAGAAAAGCTTCAGATTCAGGTGTTCAACTTAACAAATATTTTTAGCCTCTATTATGGGCCTCCCTGTATCTTAGGCTCTAAACAAAATGGAAAAGACCTCTGCTTTCAAGGAATTTATATTCTAGTTTTTATATATTAGTTAAGATTAAGTTGTCTGCATTTATAAAAACATTTTAAAAGATAAAAAAAATCACATTTTCCCCTCTAACATAAAAAAAATTTAAAAAACTCAATATAACCTAGTGCTGGTATGGTGATTCCAGAATCACTATGTTCTTTCTCTATCTATATTTTTTCTCTACTATCACATAGTAAATAGCTTCCATCCTCAAAGCAATTCACCGTTCAAAACAGCTGCTGGGGCACTAGCTTCCCCATCCATTACCAGACAGCAAGAAAGGGGAAGAGGAAAACAGCAAAAGGTAGCTATCACTCCTTAAGGTATCTTTCCAGGAGTCTCTTCCCAAAACTTCCACTTTAACTCATTAGTCAGGACTTAGTCATATTGAAGCCTGTAGCTGAAAGGAAGATTGGGAAATAAGACATTCTTATCAGACATATCACTGCTCCAAATAACATTGGCTTGTTTGTTCCCAAAGCAGAAGGGAAGAATGGATAGCATGCAGGGATCCAGTTGGCTCTGCCACGGATAGAAACATGTGAATGTGGTTATTTTAACAAAATATTACTCAGTATCATATGCCAGCAAAATTATAATTAGCCCAGTGTGATCTCTTTATTATTTTATAGTTATTTGCTTCTTATGGTCTTCAAACCACGGATATATTTGTAATGATGAGAAAAAAATAGACTCAGGTTGGCTGAGAACATCTGTCTTCTCCTAGCTGGCCCTTTCTGTCATTTTCATTTAAACCAGTTTTATCTTGTTCCATTTCCTAAGAAGAGTATACTTACTTGTATAGAACAGGGAAAATTATTTAAACCCCGAATTTCACTCATTTGCAGAACTACTTGCAGATGTTGCCTTTGAACATTCAAGAGACTAATGAGAGCTGGACAGCAATCTCATGGGATTATTCACAAATTAAATAACGAATTTATGTCCTTAATAGCCTAAGATCCAGAGAGTTGGCATGAGACACTGCCAACTCAATCTTTTCAGTTATTCATATTAAGGACATACGCAAATAAGCTCCAAAAGCACCTTAAAGATTCAATTCTATTATGATTCTTTCCTGTGTCTAATTGCTGGTCGCAGAAGAACTGAGTTTCTATCACATCCTAGTTTTATAAAGCTAAACTCTGTTAGAGTATTAATAAGGAGTATATTGATTGCTTTCCAGCTCCTACTTCCCTCCCTCACACTATTAGAAAATAAATGAATCGTTAACTCCCTCTCTAAATTAGTCATTCAGTTCCCTGAGTACACGAGCTTTAGAATTTGCAACATACTTTCCCATGTTATAAATCACTTTATTTTCACAACCATCCTATAAAGTAAACAGTTTGCAGTTATTATTCCTCTTTTATAGGTATTTGAGGCTCTTAGGGGTAAAGTAAATTGCTCCAGTCACTTGGCCTATAAATAACAAAATTTGGACTATGATTTAAAAAAAATTTTTACTGTAATTATTGTCATCATTGCTCCTTTTATCTACCCATAAAGTCTTTTTCAGTAAACTATTTTCCTCTGTTGCGGTTAGCAATATGATGGGAAAAGAAAATTCTTCTGTGCTGCTTCTGATTTCCCCTTTTTAAATCACATTCATGCACTCTCACATTGCTCCCTTTTCTTCCCCTCCAGATCAATTTGTTTTGTAGCTTCTCTTAATTAATGCTCCATCTTCACCAACATCGGTATAAAGGACAGGAATGAAATATCAAAACCTGCTTTATAATCGTAGATTCACTCTTGCTGTGAGGTTCAATGAAAGGAATAAAATTTCAATTAAGCAATTACCTAAGAGTGCCACTGGAAGCCTCAGGAGATCAACGGTTCCTTTCCATGGCTTTTGCAGCCCTCATTGACCATATGTTGAATTTCCATTTTTCATGGCTTCCTCTTAGGTGGAAATCTCCACATATTGACATGTGTGTAATGGAAGGGCACCACGTGAGGCCCAGTTTTGTATTTATCCAAGCCCACTGGCTTCAAGGTCTGTGACAAGAGTAGAATAGGTACCAGCAAGACGCCCCACATTTTCGATGCCCTGTCAAAGCCTGGCTGTTCCTGGTCCTGTGATGATATGGAAATAGCTCCTTTCTTATTGTACAGGCCAAGCTCACATGCAGATTAGCCCTTTGAACACCAAGTCCATTTCTTTGCTTTCATTGTTAATACTTGTAAACCAGACCCTGCCTAGACAGCAGACACTACTCTTTCCAACTGAGTTGACTGAGTTAGGAGAGCCTAAGAGAGAAGAGACATCAAAGCTCGTCAGAGTCAGGTCCCTTCCATGATATCAATTAAGCCAAGTTTGATTATCTTCCTGTCTTTTAACTCACAGACCAGTTTCCAGAAAGTTGTGAGCACAAACTATCACTCTATGGACACTCAAAGCACTTGGAATCAGTCACCACATGTCCATCCACTGAAATTAATTTGGAGCAACAATATGATCTACGGATATTTCTTAACTCGGGTTTTTTCTTTTTAGTGCCTTTGCCACACAATTATAAAGGATAAATTTTTAAAAATTTAACACTTCTAAAGGTAAACATAATGCTATAATACTAATGCAATATACTAATAATAATACATTATATTTGCATTGTGATTTAAATGTGTTTACATATTGTAACTATGCTTTATGTATGAATTTTCTATGTATCCTATGATATTTGAGTAAAGATACAGAAAGTTTTGTCAAAAAGCTGTAGTTTTTCCATATACTTTTTCTTTCTTTGCATTGCTGAATTTTATGTTTGAAAAACAGAAACATGGAAGCAGCACTGATCTTTTGTATTATTCTTTTATAAGAGGAGACCCAGGATTCTGAAGCAGGTGTACTCAGGAGAAATTTATGTTTAAACATTAATATAAGTGGAAATATATTGCAGAACTTAAAAAAAGTTATAAAGAGGATTGCCAAAAGGCCTTGATTTTAAAGAAACTTGAAAAATAAAAAGAAATATTAATTGAATCTTCTCCAATCCCTGCCTGAGTACCTGATCCTGGAGAAGTAAACACAGACCACATTCTTCTTTGCAAATGGAATTTTGATGGCTCCCTGTTACACCAAGCCCA